TTTATTCACTGCCGTAACAATGAACAGAAAAAAGACACAATTTATCTAATACATTGTAAATTACAAATTTTATGACTAAATTAATATATGTACATAGCTTATAATTTGACATTTACGCCGCAATTGAATTATTTTGCTTAGGGTAAGCAACCATGAGGAAAACATCCGTAAACAGGACGCAAACCGCCTTTGGTAACAACCATTGCACAATCGGACAATCACGCAGGAATGCCGGGGATAATAAAACGCTATAAAACCTTTTCTCCGCAGTTTCCGACGTCTTGGCCACCGGCATTGTTATCCTGTCTTATCTTATGAAGTAAGACCGTCAATAAAACGCAAGCCAAGGTTTTTGTAAGCGTTTGAACACAAATGAATAAAAACTCAGTTATTATTATTAATTTTGTGTGAAATAATGATTAAAAATAATAAAAAAATTTCAAATTAACCTAAGTTGTACCCTATCTGTCATAGGAATCATACACTAGCGCCATCTACATGTCGCAAACTGAACTAAAATGTAGGATGTGATCCTGGTTGCAAATTTCATCAGAATTCAATTTCAACACCTTGACGCAATTGTTTATTGATTTCTAAATAAAAAATGTAACAATACTCAAATATCCAGGTCGCAGGACATTGAAACCAGCCGGAAATTTATTATCCTCAAACGACTTTTGTATCATTTTACTCGGCAGCGGCCCGCACTAATGATGCCTTCTGACTTCACGTTGTAGAAGCTTTTTATTATGCTTGGAAATTTCGCCCGCGCCACGACAAAACCAAAATGCACTTATTACTGCGCCTCGTATTCATCCTGAGCGACCGATGACGGAAGAAACGCAAGACGACGCCAGACGCTCCCGCTTGTTTTCTTACCTTTCTCGTCGTCGTCGTTTTTTTTTCTGTTAGCTGTTTGCCCACACAGACGACTCATTGCGTTGTTTGAGTTCGACTTCTACTTCGACTTTGGAGATGGTTAGTTGCTGTATACAAACATGACGAACCTGACATAAAGTCCTGGATGAAGTCTTGGATGCGGGCGGTCCATTATCTTTTTCGTTAAGAGTGGTTTCGCGTTACACGCCGATGAAAACTCGACGACGGCGAAAAACCCGCGCATGCAAAACGAGCGGGATTAACGAACATCATTAGGAGTTCGGTTTTTTTTTCTTCTTTACTAAGAAAGACCTTTCATATCAATTCGTTAGTCGTAAAGAAAATTTAAGTATTTTCGTGGAATTCTTACATTTTACTGCTTTCAATTGAGTTAATAGAACGTGTCACATTAGAAGATGTAATTAAAACATAAAACACAAAGTCACAAAGTGAAAGTGAGTGTGTTAACCCTTCAAAGGGGGTGTTTTAACCAGAGTGCGTGTCGATATGCCACTCGTGTTGCACAGTTCCACCCTCTTGTCGCTTTTTTTATCACGCTGGCCAACCCTATTATGTAAAATTAATTTGAAACACATACGAGGCTTTTTTTCACGCACGCAATTTAATTTGATTATAAATCACAAAAATGCCACATTGATTTTTTTTGTGGCTGAATATTTTACAGTAGTATAATTTTTATGCAAAAATATAAAAGCTTTTGATAATGACAAACTTGTGTTCAAGTTTATGACATGCACGTTATGTAAAGAGTTTTGTAATGGGATGCAGACTATGGTTAATTTAATCTGCGGAATGGTCCGACAATAAATGTCACGGAACGTTTTATGATATTGCGATATTTGCGATGCGGTTTTAATTCATTTCGTTTCATTTACATTCGTTTGTTTGACTCGGTGTCACATTTGTGGTGCGCTCGTGCAGCGATGAAAAGCAAACGCAAAAACAATAAATGTTTTGGTTTGCGATGATTTAATTTCGCTTAACACGTGAGCATTCTTTGTGGGTAACACAAAAAGGGCAATTGATTATAAGTCAATATTATTCAATACTAAATTTTGCAAATATAGCACTTTAACGCCATCTAAGATTCAATTATTTAGTGGTAACTATGATTAAAGTGCTATATAAATTTTGATCCCTAATTTATCACTCTTAAAGTCAATATTTTTAATATTTTAATATATATTCTGCTATTCAAAGCCAATATGAATCCAAAAAATCATAGATGATCAAAATCTGTCCAGCCGTTCATGAGTTATACGTGCTGTAACTAACAACATTTAAAGATAATGGAAATATGTAATGGAATCGGCTACAGGCGACATCTGATGCACAAAAAGTTAAATAATATTACTGAAACACAGGATAATCAAGTGAAATTAAACGGTTCTGGCACTTGATAAATAGAAATGTTTAAACAAGGTTTACTACAACTCAACAATCAGATTCAACTAGTTCTGTTGCAGTCAGCAGTCAATGGTGCCCCCACCATGAAACGCTAGGTCAGTTCCCCTGGGGACAGGCGTCGGAGAATTCTATTACCGGCTCTCCTCGAAAGAGTCGAGTCGCCTAGTTTGCGCTTTGCTGACTTGCCGCCGCCGACAGGCAGACGAGCCGCCGTTTCGTTTACAATTCTGCGCGGTCACTCCGACTCAGACTGCCCCTCGGTGCGCCGGCTACTTCTGTTTGAGTGCCTTCCACTCTGGGGCGGCGTGAGTGGCCTGAAATGTTTGAAAGTGGACGCAGCAAACTTTGATTGTTTGATTGAATGAGCGAGACTGCCAAGAGATCCGAGAGATCGAAAACCAATAACGCCACTCCCGGTGCCAATCATTATTTAAACAATCATCCACGCGGAGTGCGTGTCACCGGCGAAAAGTCACCAGAGTAAACTTGGACGGGAAATGTACACGAAACTTTTCAAGATGGTGAAGATAGAAGGCTGGATGGGAGGAAACTTTTCACAGAGTAATCCATTAAAAGTTAAAATTTGATCATGTCAATTGATAGAAACCTTAAAATTGCAAGAGAATCAAATGGAACTATATATTTTTAAGACATTTTCATTGAATTAATTTTATAGTTTATTATTAAACGAACTAATATTTATATTTTTATTCACTGTAAGAAATGCGCACATTTTGAAATCATAATTCAGAAAATTCTCAATATCTCGTAAACAAATTGGTTTATTTTAAGTTTCTCACCGCCATATTGTAGTTAAAGAGGCCCTTTATATTATGTATGCCTTTTTGACGCTTCAAACTGTCCGTAAATGCCCTTAAAATACCCAAAAACAAAAAATTTGTAATTTTCTTCAAAATTAAAAACACGGAGTAGAAAACACCCTATATCTTTCTAACTAATTTCTTTATTTTAATTTTTTTAACTTTATATTTTAGTTTTAAAGATTCTTCATACTGTGGATATCTTTTAAACCCTTAGAACACTCAAGAAATACCCTAAATTGCCCTTCAAAAATAGTATATGGCCATATACTATTTTTGACCAAAAAATTGCAATTTTTGGTCGAAAAACAGAATCAAACTTGTATTTTTAACGAAAAAAATATTTTAGGTCGAATAACATTTATTTTCTTGAACGGTTAGCTATAAACAGAGACTTAAAACTTGATTTTAGAGTGCGTCCCGACACCTACCAGTGAACGTTCGTGTTAATACAAAACTCCCACCAGTACTCTACTCCAGATCACGTTTTTTTTCATCTAGATGTCAGCAAATACTTTAAACAGTAAATTATATTCTCCAATTTTCTAATGAATTGAACATTTATTTTAACTGTGAATGTTTACATTCGCGCAATAAAATGTTTAACACTTTTAATTTATCTCTGTAAACGTTAGCACAGTTGCATCATGTCAATTTCCACTCTTTGAAACACGGATTTTACCAGATCTCCTAATTTTCAAACAAATCTCAATCGCTGAAATTCTTTAAATCATAACCTTCTTATAAACAATTTATACTCCAAAGATAATTCCCATGTTTAAAGACGTTTAGAACTATACACAATCTCAATGTAGCGATCAAGCGATACTATAAATAAACACAAAAAGATGCGCGTGTTTTAAAACACGACAAAAAAACATATTTCACATAAATATGCGGCATGGTGGCGCACATTCACATACTCCACGTTTTTGTATAATTTGTTTAAACACACAATGACGACCCGACTAAGCAAACGACGCGCTATGTATATTTACATCATTCGGTTAAAAATTCAGGAAAGAAAATTTACTTAAAATGCATGATTATTGTATGCTAATAGAACAATATTGAATTTACATTTAAATTCTTTCAAATGAATGCGCAAACATAACACAAACTTATGCATTGTTGAAAATTATTTAAAAATGCATCAAAACAAATTAAAAATGATTTATTACATAAAAAAAATATTTTTACAAAGTCACTGATTGAATTAACAACTTAAAAGCTTTATCTGTTTAAAAGTAGTCTAAACATGTTTTTAGCATAACAAAAATTAAATTTTAAATGCTTATCAGTAAATATATTTAAACCGTCTGCGTTGTAAGAGAGGCCTAGAGGTGAATTACAGAATTATATTATGTCACCACCGTTGAAATTGGACAATGCGTGTGGAATAATGTGTTTATTGTTTGCATGTGGCAAACGGCATAACAATATGCGTTTAAATGATGTGTAACTTGAGTTTATTATAAATACAATGTTAAATTGCAGTTTGTAGCGGCCAGAGACTCAACCGTAGACGAAAAACATTGAAAAACAATTAGAGACTATTATATTCGTTTATTTGCGGTATTAAAAACGAGTTACACCAGTATTAACTTATTATAAAGTCAACAGCTTGCATAAATTTACCATTTTCAGGCAGTAAATTTAAATTTACTTTAAAACCGAAAAAAAAAAACGTTTGCACGTTTATGTTCACTTCTTAATGCGTATTAGCGTGTGCATCATGTAAATGTATTAAAATCCTATTTTTAGTTCGCTTTTCGTCCGTCTAATCGATGATGAAGTTGATGAAGTCGAAGCTCGTGTGCGGTTGGTGCTCACTCATTACGCACGTATCAATTTACCTGCCGCGATTTGCTCGTCGTTCGTCAATCAGTCACGTTGCGGCCGTGTGCGTCGGCTCACAGATCCGGCAGCGAAGTTTTCAAAAACTTTGCGGTATTACTTGAACTTACAACGCTCTGTGTGTGTCAGTGGCTTCACGACGCTCGCGAATAATAACACACATCACGCAACTCGCGCTTTAAGTTTAGTCGTCGTAAAACCCGCTCGTCGCACACATCAGAACAATTAATACAAAGCTTTCCATGCCTCTCAATTGATCAATAACATGTTAAATAATAAACAAAGTGAAACCAATTGATACAAATTGATTGCGAAACAGTTGAAGCACTTAATTAAAATGAAGTGAGCGTGTTTTATTAACCGTCATTATTTATTGAAAATGGAAATCGCGAATGGCTTGACAATGACGCTTTCGACGGATCATCGGCTGCGGCGAGTGCCGCTGAAGAAGCAGTTGCGTCCGGACCTGGAGTTGAACAACAACCTGCATCAACCTGGTGTACTTCCAGTGAAGGATAATGACGCGGATAGTTTGAATGGCAGGCTGAGGAAAAAATACAATCATCATAGTTCCAGTGCGAGCGCATCCGGAAGCGATATTAGTATCGACGAGGATATAGAACCGGAAATAATTGAAAGCGTCAGTGAAGAAAACAAAGATAATCTTGATTCTAAAGATTCTAAAGATGAAAATGATGAAAAATGTGAAAATTTAAACGCTAAACCAGTAAGTAAATATTTATTATTGAAAATTTATTCATATTTTGTTTTGAGTTTATATTTCCTTGCTGCCAAATTTAGATCAACAAAAATTTATGCGTAGGATGATTGTTTATACATACACACTATTAAATTGAAATTTATTAGTTTTTATTTTCGGTTGTGGGTAAGGATTTTCTATTGTTTAGTTCAGACTGTAAATTATAATTTATGTGTCACTGAATTTGGGCATTCACATAAGCGTTGTTAATTTTAACGTTTTCAACTTTAATTACAGCCTAGAATAATTTCAGTGTGCAGAATGTTTTAATAGTTTACGATGCCGTTAATCGCGGTTTCGATTTCCAGCCGATCTACATCACAATTTTTTATCTTTTGTGGTCTGGCACGCCGCAGAAGTCATGAATCAGTGAATGTCAAACTTTAAAGTTTACTGTTTTTAAATTATAGCGTCTTGCGACTAATTCGTACACACTACTTTCTTTATTTTGGCGTTTTGGTTTAGCTACCGCCTCGGGACTCACGTTAAACAATCGTTAAGCAACATATTAAGCCAGACGCTCATTAGCGCGCGCACCGTACTCGAAATTGAAACACTCAAACCAATTTGAGCAATTTGCATAAATTTCGCATTCTTTCAAATGTCTCACTGTGCAATTTGGAATATTTTCTAACGATATTATAATCAATCTATGTGTAGATATAATTATATTGCAATTTATGACTTTGAATCACATACAAGTTTTTATTTTTAATGTGTACTCGAAACTTTAAATTTTACACCGAAATAATTTGTTAGGTTGTAATTCTTATCGGGAAACGTTTCATTACGAGTGTTATCAATGCTGTGCCTGTTTAAAAACAGATTTCATGTGTTTGTTGATTTTTTCCGAATGCTTTAAATTAGGATTATTTGAATATTTGCCACCGCTGGTGCAATTCCATGTATTTTTCTGACCCGCGCTCACACATCGAGTGATACAAGTCCAATGCCAGCGTTAATGAAGCGATAATAAGGTCAAACGTGCGACATAACACAAATCATTCCAAATAAACACCCGAAATGTTTCATATGAAGTTCGTACAGGTTTTAATCTGGACATAGTTTAACCACTTTGCGGATATACTGATATCAGTATAAATTAAACAAATTTAAGGTCATTTTTAAGATGAAACTTTAGCCTACTTTAAATGAAATCATGATTAATCTCGTGACTATTTAAACGGGATATGGTTTCTTTTTTAAATCAGATTGGAGCAGTGCCAGTTGAATTTCTTGGAAAATTTTTGACTTTGACTTGAATAAACTGTAAAATTTCCAGTTTTACATACTTTGCAAATCAGAGTGAGGCCAAAAACATTTTATTTCACTTGTAGCGCTCGTAAAACGTGTTTGCATCGCAGTAAAAATTGATTATCAAGTTCAATTAACTTGATTTAATGACACTTTAAAGCAAATTCAAAACGTGCACTTTTTAATTGTTTCTTTTTGTTGTTTTTTTGCTAAAAATAATTTAAATTCCGTTAATGATTATTTTACATGTGATTCGAAGCTATTACTTCGACACGTTTGAGTTATTTACTTTAAAACATTGATTATATTCTGTAAGTCGAGTAGAAAATATGTTACGAAGGCTAATTACTCATGTTTCAATGTGTTCCAGATACGTTTTCGTAAAGATCGTTTGTTTTTCCGCTCGAAAAGGAAAAAAATCGCGTATCGGTCGGTGAAACATTTCCATTTTTGAGCGCGCGCAGTCACATTGAATACGTGTACACAATTCTTGTAAATCTACGCCAGCGACCATCTCAGATCAGATCGCATCGCGCGCATTGTTCCGCGAGCGCGTTCGCGCGATTTGTTGTTTTCTGTGCGCCGTCGACAATGTCGTTGTCGGGGCCATAAATGGTAGCAAAACGCGAGCATGCCGACGGCCCGTCGGCCGAACGACCTTCCATAAAATGTATAACACATCATCGATAAACACGACAAGATATTCTAGTGAAAAAAATAAAGAAATAAACTTACCAAGCAAAATCAGAAATCAGTCTCGGTGCGCAAAGGAAAAAATAAATAAAACGAGTGTAAATTGTGCAAATGATTAAAAAGTTTCCAGTCGAGTTATATTAAGCAATTATGGAATTTTTATAAAAATTATAAAATCAACTTAAAACTCTTAAATTTTATTTTAAACATAAAATTAAAAAGAAATACCTTCCGGAGATATTATTTAATTACTATTTGATAAGTTATTCAATCAATAACCTATTGATTTATTTAATAATTATTATTTATTATATATTGCATGTCATTGCGTGTAGTTTAAAAGCATGTGCGAGATTTATGAGTTCACTTTGTTTTGGTTGTTCGCATTTCAACGTTTCAAGTTCATTTCAAAACCGCAATGAACACGGAAACATTTTTATGTTTTAATTGCGGCAAATACTTGCGATTCGCGATAATTGTACGCATAATTCTTGTCATATGGTAATATATTAAAAGTCGTTTTTCGTAATGACAACGAAAACATATTACATTATGCAAACAAGTAATAAAAATTTGATTATTGTTTATTTGTAATTTTCTTATTAAAATAATAACTACTTCAATTGTTGGAACACAGTAATTTTTCCGTTGTATAATGTAATTTTCTCCATTCAGCGTATGTTTTTCCAAGTTGAGGCTGTTTTTAAAAGATGATGACATATCTATATAAATAATTTAAATATTAAGTACATATTCCTATTTCCACGAATACTAATTATAGTTTTTCCCGACGTTTGAATCTCGCCGCGCGGAAGTAAACAATTTGTTTAAAAAAGCCAAAGCAAGTTGGAAAAGTATTTAAAAATCTTCCACGACACGAGACATAAATATTACTGTAATTTAGTGATCAAAGGAAACATTTAAATAGCATTTTTACGCTAGGTTTCATTTATCAAACAAGTCGGCAAAGTTGTTCGTTAGTGATTTGCAATTTATTTTCGTTTTTGTTCAAAAAATAAATCACAAATTGTTTTTTTTGTGCGCAATGTTTATTGCCCCAATTAAAATTGATCCAGACATGCTCATAAAGGTAAATTATTGAAATGTGTTGCATGTAGCGTGAATAATTAATTATAATTAAGATGATTTCGCTTTTTGTTCCAAGACTTTTTCACACATGACAGAATTAACTGCCGCTTCATTGTTAATTAATTTCTATTCTAGTCGCAATTATTTCTAAACATCACACACGTGGATTTAAGTTCGAAAAACTCAGCTGAGTTTAAACCAAGTCAATAACTTCTTAATGACTTTATTATTTTTTATCGTATCGTCAAAAACATTTAAGTTGTGAATGAAATTTTTTAAATAAATTTGTTTTTTCTTTACTAGGAAGCAACTGAAAGTGTTACAAGACGCATAAGATCAATGTCTGATGGTTCACCAAGCATGCATGGCTACAATCCAGATGGAGAACCCTTTGAAGTCTTCCCAAGTCTTCCAGATAGTGTCCTGGAAAAGCTAGAATTGAATGGACATCGGAATAATAAGTAAATACAAATAAATAATAAAATAAATTGTTTTTCTATAAAAATTTTTATTATTTTATAGAGAAAGACTTCGTGATGATGAACTAGAACAAAAATTCGTTTCCTTATCATTGGCTTTCACAATCGACGCCACGACGATTCAACACCGCTGCGAACGCCAGCGAAGATGCCGCGATCAAACCGAAACTAACCTCAATTCTGAACTAGAACGCCTTGTAGAAAAAGCCCACCGCCTTAGACCATTGTGTGTTGATGCGGAAACCACAGAATTACTAACAGGTCTCTAAGTCATGTTGATGTGATTGTTAAAGCGGTTGAACACGCCGCCATTGCTGCTGAGCGATATGGCGCTGTGCAACATGAAGCGCGATTAGCGGATAGTGCACAGTTGATGATTAACCACGTGCATGTTTTGAAACAGCAACGAGATTTTGCCAGACGGCAACTTGTATATACAAAACGAGTCCTGCAGGATACTTCGCAAACTGTTACCGATGTGCATAAACATGGTGTCCGACATGGATCACATGGAAATGTGCATGGTGTAGGGAATGGTAATGCCAGAATGGTAACAAAAAGAAGGGCGAGTATTGCTACGCTTCCGCATCAAGATATTTTAAATCATAGCGAGTTGAAAAATTTAGAAGTGAGAAAGATGACTAGAAGGACTTCTGAATTGACTATAAGAGGTGGGAATGTTTTACCAAGGAATACAAGGACGCCTAGATTAGAGTAAGTTATTAAAAACTTTAAAAAACATTGAAATTTTGCTTATTTTGTTATTATTTTTATAGATTAGGTTTGGATTTAGTAAAAATTAGAGAAAACACAGTCGAAAACCATCATGGACCGGATGAATCGCTTCCCGAAGAACCAGAAGATGACCATGCTGATATATTACATGAGCATGAAAGTTTTCAAGACATAGAAAGTCGTAGAGAGAGTTTTCATTCTGTAGGACATCCATCCCTAGAAGAAGAAATGCAAGAAGTTGAAATAAAATCAGGACAAAAAACTCAAAAGTTTGAGATTTGTACAACACAACTCAAGTAAGTTGTAATACAAAACCTGTAAAAATATTTTTATAATTTATTTTTATTTTTATTTTATTGTAGATATAAAGTGATGTACGTTTTGAGGAAATTGAGTAGGCAATTTGGTCATGCATTGACCACCTGGTTGGATGAGGGCGCAAAAGGGAGCTTCTTTTACTTCTGTGCGCTGCTTTGTTTTTCCTTGAGTATTGTCTCTTTGGGGAATATTCTAGTCGAGATGGAAGTGGAACGCGGTGGCACTTTTCTGCATTGGTTGTACAATGCGTAAATTGTATTATGTAACAAAAACCAAAAGAAATACACAATAGAAATTTGAAATACGTAACTGTACACAATTTAGATTGATGAAAACATCAAGGCCATTTTTGGGCCACACTCAAGTCAATTATTGTAATTGTTAACTTAATTCATTATAGATATGTTCCATGATTATGTAAATTATAAATAAATGATAATGAAATCGAAAGAAATGATTTTTTATTTGAAAATTTTCTATTGATCCCAAGCAAAAAATAAAAATTGTCAATTTGATTTTTTATTACAGAATATTAAAGAACATGTTAATTAGAATACTTTATTTTAATAAATTTTTTTCCAATGATGTACCGTTTTGTAAATATTCACTATGAATAAATTCATTTTTGAGCGAAGTCAAATTTTTTGTTAAAATTGTCAATAAAGCCTAAAGTATCAGTGCTAAAACAAAATTGTTCTTAAATAAGTTAATAAGAATTTAATAAGCTATCAGAATCCGAAATCAGAACTTAAAAATTCAAATATTTAATTTTTTATAAAAAAGTGAAAAAGTTTTACTTTTTTTATGACGAAATCTTTTCACGGTCTAGTGTTTTTTATGGCAGAAATTAAAATTATGATTTCTTGAAATTTTTTTTTCGGATTATGATTAAATAGAATATTACAAATAATATATTTTAGTAAATTTTTTCTCTATAACACTTATTTAACGCAATAATTAATAAAATTAATTCAAACTAAATTTAACAATTTTATGCGTATATCTTCTAAACTAAACGTCTAATTAAAATTATCTTTTAAAATATTTGTTTCATAAAAATGTTCTATTTCATAATCTGTTATATAAACTTATTTATTTTTTAATTTTTTTAAATGCAAATAATTAACTAAAAAATGGTGGAGGCGCCAAACATTTAAATTAGTATTTAATTTTTTTCTTAAAATCTAACCATTGTATAGAGGACCTCTTAATTACTTTATTTATCAATCTTGCTACCTAATTGCTTTTATAGTTTACCCTCAATACACTCCGAAATTACAACGTGTACTTGCAGTGTGACTCAAAAATCGATTATCTCAGAAACTAATAAAGATAATCATGAACGGAAAACTGCATTGCATTCAGCAGACAATTCTACATATGACAAGATTTTAAAACTTGAATTTTTTTCCCGAAAAAATTGATTTTCCGACGCGATTTTCTCGAAAACCATAAAAGTTACAAACAAACTTTTTGCATATTCTTCATGCCCTTAGAAGAATCTATAAAATGGCAGATTTAGTTTTTTGATACTAAGAAGTTGACAAAAACCGACCAAAAGTAGTCAAGAGGTTACACTTGACTACTTTTTGGCCTAAAAATTATTTTTTATGCTAGAAGAAAATGGAAAACGCAATTCTATAAGGAATTATAAGGGGATGAAAGATATCGAATCAGTTTTTTGATAACATCAATATTTCGGAAAAATCAGGTGAAAATCGAAACGGTTAAATTTGAACCCCCTCTCTGATTTTCACGAAACTTTCTAATCAGTAGTAGAATGATGCCAGGAATCCATTTTTGCTATTTTTGTTTCGATATCATAATTAGTTCTTGAGATAATGACCAATGTCAATAATTACATAACTAGAGAAAACTTAAAATTTTAAAGTGGTAAATGATGTAAAATTATCCTCTGAGTATTAAACTGAAAACCGTTTTTCTCTAACGTCAGTGGTTCACAAGAAAATTGCAAAAAACTGGATTGTTAATTTTCTCCATCAGTTCTTAATAAAAATTAAAAATTTGAAATTTAATTATTTTATTGCAGAAGATTGAAGAGATGTGATTTTGATTACTTTATCTAAGTAATCTTTTCTTATCAGATCAATAGATCAGGCAGTAATCAACAAATATTGTCAGGTATTGTACATTAATATATGTGACTTTCAATCGACAATCAAAATGTTTTATAGCTTGTCCTGTAAAGAATCCTTCCACAATTAAGAATCTGAAATAATTTTTTTCCTAACCCTTTTGGTTCAAAAGTTATTGACGTTTAAATTTATTGTTTTGATTTTGACAAAAAATAATTAAAGATTAAAGTTGGTCTCTGTCTCGGCACAGGGATTATTTTGATAAAAAAGTTTGGCCCTGCTGTTCGAGGAAAAAAAATTTAAGAAAAAAGTTCGACCCTGTTGTTCGAGGGAAAAATTTTTAACAAAAAAGTTCGGCCCTGTTGTTCGATCGAAAAATTTTTAACAAGATAAGTTCGGCCCTGTTGTTCGACCGAAAATAATTTTAAAAAATTCAAAATAACCGCTGTCCTTCAACCAAATAACCGAAATAAATAGCAATGTTCAAGAGACATTTTAGGGCTCTTGCAAAGGGTTTAGGGCTCCGAAATTTACTCAGGTTATAAAAGGACTCTTTAACTATCGGATGTCATTGAAAAACCGTCAATTTTTCCACTGGTTCAAGAGATACAGCTGGTTTTTCCCCTCTGGTTTTAGAATTATATGATAAATATCAATTTATGACGGGCATTTTAAGGCCCTTCCTGAGGGTTTAGAGGATCAAAAAGGTATACGCATTATAAAAAGACTCTTTAACTTAAATATGGCGGTAAGATAATTGAATTTGTTCCATTAGTAATAGAAATACAGGGTGTTTTCTAAGCCAACTTTTGGATACTGTTATATGGATTTTAAAGCTCATTTTAGGGCACTTCTAAAGGGTTTAGAAAGTGGGCATAAATGTATGTTGTAGAAGGTCTCACGAACTAATTTTTGCAATTTAAAATCCTAAAATTGCTCCATTAGTTTACGAAATATTGGATGTTTTCTAAATAAAGTCCCAAAATTTTGAAGAAATTAGTTATTTTAGATGTCACTTTAAGGCCCTTTCTAAGGGTTTATGAGGTGGAGAGGCAATGGATGTTGTAAAAGGTTTATCCACCTTTGTTATAACATTAAGAAAACCGCAATTAGACTCATGGTTCGACTGATACAGGGTGTTTTCCGGAACTTTTTCTTAGAAAATTTGAAAAACAGGTATTTCCTGCCTGAATTTAAGGATTATGGGATGAAAAGGGTGTATATAATGTTCAAATAATGGTTCAGGAGATTTAGACAGAAATCTACAAGTTTGTAATAATAAAAAATCATTTTATTTGTATATTATCGACATACCAATACAATTCAAACAATCAGAAAGAAATTAACACTTATTTCGTCTACATTTCACGTGACAGCTGAGATTAAATCATTTTCTTTACAAATTAGGGTCATTTGGATGACATTTAACAAAATAATTTGTCTCTGAGCACATCTATTGAATAATAATGCAAGATTTGTAATAAATTATGACTATGCTATAAATCTGGAGTATAAAGCGCCTATTAACTCTTCTTTATGATATAAATAAGAAAACAATTCACTTAACACTTAAAAGTAAAAACTAATTAGCATTTTGAACAATATGTTGTACTATGTAAATTCTTCGGAAAAATTCTTAGAAATTCAGTAAAGTTTATAAATAACTCTAGAACTAGAATATCAGTATTAGCCCAAATAGACATTCCTTAATTTTCCGACAAGTGTAAAATGTTTAACAAATTGTACACCATAGAAAATTTCAACTTTGAACAGGTCTCAAAAAATAAATTAAACAGGAATGATTTTCGCAAGGCCACAAAAATGATACCGATAACAACAAACAGGTAGAAAAATATTTATTTCGTTGCCACTGAGCTAGCGTCCGTTGGTTGGTCTGCACTTGCTCGATTATTTTGTGTGTTTAGAGGCTGGTCGCTCTCGATTAACTTCAGAATGTTTAATAGTACGTTCATACTCTGGTCGTCTTCCAGCACAATGTCGAAGTGTTCTTGATAAGCAGGCAAATTAGCTGCAGCCTTTAAAAATGAAAAACAGAAAAATCAAATTAATTCAAATTACAGTACATTTTCCATGATTTTACTAACATGATCATAGAGGAATCCTATTTTGAGTATTGCGTCACTATTTGATAAACCTTCGGCCATTCCCGCATCGCCTATTGAGTCTCCTATGACTATCACGTTGGTCCTGTCAGCGATTACTGGGTAGTATGAGGTTCCCACCAAAGCCAATTGATTCTTGTTAAAAACATTGATCATTTTCCCGTTGAATCCTTCAATTTTTCCATCATCGTTCCTCTTGAGAAAATTTGAAACAACCTACAAATGATATTTACATTGAAATTATATTCGTTTAATTAATATTTAAATCTTAAGTATTTTACCTTAACATTTGGCATGAGAACATTGAAATGCATCAAAACAGCAACTACAACGTCGCCGATTCCTGCTGAAAAGACTAGTAAGGGGATGTCATTTTTTTGTAAATGTTGAAACATTTCAATTGCGTTATCCCTTTAAAAATAATAAAAATAATTGATAGATTATTTTAAAAGATTAGTTTGCTCTGTTTACCTCAAAGACATGGAAACTTCCGTAACCACCTCCTCCAAGTCGGCATCACTGACTGAAAGTCCACTAAAAGATATTACGTCTTACAAGAAAACAAATAAAAACAATTTTATACATACACTAAAAGTTTTTCTGATAGATTCCACCATTCCTCCATGAGAGCTTTCTTCTCTGGGAACGGAATAGCAGGATTCACCTCAATAGGCAAATATTTTTCTGTGAGTCGTCTATCGTCATCCATATATGTGGGTGGTAAAGATTTGCATCGTGCAAAAATTCCTTAAAATTCATAATTTAAATTTTAAAATTCAAAAGTACATAAATTTATAATAACTATATGCAACCCAATATACTCCGCATGATGGCGGGATGATAAACATGTTACGTAACATCTGATATCGACGTAAACAAAGTCAGAGGTTAAGCCTACCAACTCACCAAAGCTGCTAACGTGCGTCTTGCCATTTTCGTGCTGTTTGGTAATGGTGCGATCGAAGTCGGAAACGACCAGCAGTCGTGGGCAGCCGCCGCGCACCAGCTGTGCAATGAGTGCGTTGACGCGTTGTGCATCTTTGATGTGACAGCGAGACGTCGACGAGAACGGCTTGTCTAAGCCTAGCTCGCGCACATAGTCGCGATGCATGACTGTATGGAATTGGGCGATGGCGGGAGCGTCGGGGTGGTTGTGCTAGCGCTGGTGGTGAGCAGGGTGGTAAGCAGCTGGCGGCACGCAAATTTTGCCCGATGCATTCAACGAGCGCTCGGCGGCGGCGACGAGAGCGACCAGCTACGGCGTGCGAGGCGAACGTGGTCGAAGGTCGTGCACGCTTGGCAGATCGACGAAGGTAGCGACATCTCGAAATCGCGCTTTGTATTTATACGTTTCGACTCCCACCGCCAACTTTTGTTTGGCGCGAGGCGCCCGCGAACTTTGGAGCGGCTGGAAATTTACAAAAATTTAATTGCGTAGAACAAACTGACCGCAATCAGACAAAAGAACACGATATTATACTCTGTGTTCACACGGTACACAGTGATACCGAATTTTATCGCATTTTTACGGTAATTAAAGCAAGTTGCTAGGTAAAATAATTATAAATCATAGAAAAAATTAAGATATACTAAACATGTGCGTGGAATATTCGAAAATCAAAGGTCAGTAGTCCCAATCGTATCATATTTAATTATTGATTTCATACGTTATCAAAAATTACACATAACTAAGCAACTTGTAGGCATCTCGTGTTCCTGAAACGTTTTTAGCGCACAAAAAAACACGAAAAATATTTTAGCCTAAAACCTGTTTATCTTTATTTTATTTCACTTTGGTTTCGCGAGCTTTCGAGCTTTTGAGCTTGCGATCTCTAAGCCTCGATGCTTTGACGCATTGCGAGCGAATTCGACCCCCTCCGCTAAAGAAATATTTATGTGTATCGAAATCCTAAGTTATGGACAGGATTTAAACCCAAAGTTTCAAGCTTTGCACTTTGGCCCGCAACAAAAAAGGCGAAAAGAAAGCGATATTAATAAAAATTCCTTCGTGAAATTTAATTTTAATACCTCTCCAAGGGTTGAAAACGTCGAAATACGCAATTTTCAAGCTTAAAACGCTAAAGAATGCGCACTGGTGGTGGTGCACGACGACACGAAGGGATGAGAGTGCGGATGCGTTCCTGGGGAGCGCGAGAGTGCGCGCGTGAAGGGCGCAAGGTGTCGCCTAAGACGCTACATTCACACGCCGGATTGTGCGGATTGATGATAAGCCACCCGGAAACTGAACAACGCGTCTCGCGCCCCGGATCTGCCTGGCGCATATAGGGGTGGTTCAGCCACCTTCCGAACCCTCGTTCCTCTTACTTTGCTGGTCGCAGAGAGTGAGCAGCCGTGAATAGCAGTGACAGTGCAACACGTTTGTGCTTAGTTAGGAAGCAGCTCTCTAAGGAGAGCAGCGCGCACGTAACCCCTTAAGGATGGCGGGACCTGCGTAGGTCGGAGGGTGAAGGACAAGCAACAAACAACTTAGGGGTTGCAGCGGCGTTCGAAAATTTGAAGAAGATTTAGATCTTACATTGTAATCTGATCAGATCTATTTCGACTTAGAATGAGGTACAAGGACACTCATTTCATGCTAATTTACATCCGCTGCAAATGTGAGTCATCGGAGAAATAGTTTTTAATGGATTTTCGAGCTTAAAGTGAAATTAATCACCGGACAGAATTAAATATTGAACTAAACTAAATCAAGAATTGCACTCGTCAAATAGAAAAGATAATTATTTGTGCGAATGCAGGAAGCAAAAGATGAGAATCATAAAATCGTGCAGAAGGAGAGCTTAAGAGGAAGCAGCAGTCGGGAGTCGGGCAAAGCAAGCGTCTAATTACCTCTCTCGAGATTCATTAATCACAACTTTGCGTAATTAGATTCGCGGCGCGAGATGAAGTGGAACGAGACGAGTTTTCTAAGGACCTGGAACTTTCTCCCACTTCTTTGGTTCCTACGGTGACAAAGGCTAAGAATTTCGTAGGAATTTTATTCATCATGTATGATGTTTATGTTTAATCGTGTGTGAATATAAAAAAACAAAATTGTTTGATTTTCTAAAAAAATTTTTTGTCAGTACAATTTTAAAGTAGGTTTAAAGGACCACATATACTCAAAAAAAACAGGAAAAAAGTCTGAAGCGCGCGCAGCAAGCGAGTAACAACGTTCATTAGCGGAGCACTTGAAATTTATCTTGTTAAAGTTCAGTAATTACCGACTTGCAGCAACGACGGTGCAACGTGCAGAGTGCGCGCCGGCATCTCCTAACATTATCTTGTTTTCGGGGTGCGCGCCCCGCCGCCGTCGAGAAAAGAAGACGCAAATGGGAGAACAAGAAGATAACGAAGGCGGAAGTTGTCGGCTTGAGCGCCGCCGTAATAAAGTGTACTTTTACGAGCCGGGCGATGCACAATTTGCCATAGTTAGCGCAATTTGCAATTTGAGGTGAGGGCCACACACCGGAACTTCCCCGGGCGCAGCCGAAACTCATGTGCAAACATACGAGTTGTAAGTCAAGTACTCGTAGAACAACAATTACAATAAATTCCATTCAAATCAGCGATATTTATATATTTATTATTAAAATCTCACAGCAATAATAATGCGGCGGCGCGTAAAATTTAATTAACGATGTTAATTTGTCAGCTGAATAATTCATGTGCTCGCGAGACGATAAATTAGGAAAATTGAATGTCTAATGTTGTCGATAAGCCGCGTCGTGAATCAGACGCGAATAAATAATGAATGCGCATTGAAATACGCGAACACAGTGCGCATTGAGCGCATTCAGGGAAAATTGGAATATTAATAAATCGCGCGCGCCGCCTGCCTGCGAGGTATTTTAAGAGTGTCTATTGTGTTTTCTAATAAATACCTGCGACGGTGCTGCAGGGTCGTCGGCGTTGGGGAAATGCGAGCGCCGCGTATTGATAAAGCGTCCGTCGATTGATAAGGGAGTGCGGCGCGCGAATACACCGAATGGCGTCGAGGGAAGAATGCGCTGTCGATCGGAATCGATTCCAATCTTATTCCACCAACTAAATGAAAATTTTCATGAAAAACCGGACAAAAAGGCACGAAATCAAGCAATATTTTCGGTTAATTTCACGATACGTAGTCATATATACAAAAAATCAACAAAAAATGAATTAATAAATATGGAATTTATTTTTACTTTTATGTTTAAGACTTAATAAGTACCTATTGATTTCATGAATAAGATTCAAAATTTTATTATAATACAATAAGAAGTGCTAATAATGCTTTTTAACGCCATCTAGGATTTAATTATATAACTATAACTATCATAAAATCTCCATATTAACTTTCATCCCTTATTTAACACCCTTGAAATCACAATTTTCTATATTTTGATACTTACTCTGCTATTCGGTACACAGATTAATCTAAAAAATCATAAATCATCAAAATCTGTCTAGTTGTTCTTGAGTTATAAGCGTTGTAACTAACAAAATTTTGTTTATATAGATTTTGTGTAATTTACATGAACTCCATGTATAAATATATATTTATTTTAATGAACAGAAAGTAAAAATCCAATAAATGATCTTAGGCTACAAAAAATTGCATTGATAATGCCCTAAAGGACTTACTTTTTAATTATTTCCGCCAATACTTTATCTGATAAACGAAAAATCCCATTAGTTAATATAAAAAACGCTGAAAAAATCTTAAAATATTTACAGCGTCCTGAAACATTGCACATAATCCTTTTCGTACACTCATCGCGCACGTAATTAAACATTAAACACTAAATTAATGAGCAACAAAAGCTGTTAAAACTGTTTTTCCTGCACAAAGAGCGCCGCAAGGCGGAAAACTCCCGCGCGCCGGATGCGTGCGGATGCAAGGCTGCTGGATGAAAGAAAACCGCAAATTATTTCCACTCTTTCCACGTGTTTTTGCATATCCTCACATTGTAAAAACACACAACCACTTCCACTCTATACATATACGATAGTATAGTATAGAAATTGTGCTTTCCGGAAGTTGTCAGAGAAGGCAACGGAAAACGAGAATGAAAACATAAAACATAAAGCATAAAATATAAAGTATTGCTGATGTTTTAATAAAGTTGTTACGCAACGTCGTTTTCGCGTCGTTTTCATAAAGAAGGCCGAAATGTTTTCCGGGAAGCACACACATCCCGGCGAATGCGAGAAGGTGTGAGGATGTAAATTTCTTAAAATATGGCCGCGCTGCATGCGCGCCTACAAATTCTCCACTTTACACTCACACTCGACTTCATTCCGCTTCATTTTGTGTTTGTTCCCGGCGCGATCGTGGCTTCCAAGCACATGGGGTGGGCAAATGGTTTAATATTTTAATATTTTACGTAAACGGTTGCGGCGCGTGAACGATGGCGCCCGTCGTAACGAAGAGGATGACTAAGGAAAAGTGCAAAGTGCGGAATTTGAATGTCTTGAGGAAGATGTTGGGCGTTATATAGGTGTAATCTTGTAACATCATCGTTTCATGAATTGGTAATGTAATTTTCGCACGGTTTCCTTCGACATCACACATTCACATCTTCACTTTCGAAGAAGAACAATCTTACGCGTACTTTTAGTTATATAGTCATCATCTACAACATAACCTATAACGACGATTTTTGAAGCAAAAACTTCTTTAGAATCGTTGTGATTTCAAAATTAACGAAACGACACTAAAAAGAGACAAACGTATTCGTTTATATGGTTTAGCCTGCACGAGAATAAGAGAACACAAATATACAATGCTTCCTATTATCTTCGTTTCCTCTTTGTGCGATGCGATATACTCTAATAACGTTCTTCAAGTATGTCAAAAACTAATGCCGATAAGTCTCGTGAATATTAGCAGAAAAATATTAAATAACTTGTACATTTCATTCCAATATTAAATAAATAAACCCTTAAATTATCCCACTCCTGATACTACATTGGTCTCATTCTCTCGCAGTGATTCTCACACATGATTTTTTTTACAATTGCGAATATCTCATAAACTAAAAGAGATAGAAAAGAACAAATCGCAGAATCTTAATCTACGACCAATTTTCTATCAAATGTGCTAGTAAATTGGGAATCTAATAGATACAATTTTAATTCATAATAAAAAAATGCTTGATATTTTTTGTCGACGATTTTCGATAATTAATATCTCTTAAACTAAAAGAGATAGCAACCTTATATTTCCAATAGTAAAAGGTCAAAAAACGCCACTAAAAGTACCAAAAAGTGATATTTTTCAAATTTTGGGCATTTTATTTAATCGCGAATATCTCGTAAACTAAGAGAGATAAATAGGATCTTATCGCAGCGTTTTAATCTATGGACTATTCTCTATAAGATAGGATAGTTAA